TAATAATAATAAGTTGCCCTTGGTTGAAACACTCATTGCTACATCTCATGCTACATCTGAAGATCAGGAATATTATTAATTGTAAAACAGTAGCACTCACATGTAAGACCTCAGTGCCAAGCACTAGTTATTATGATGTAAAATTCACTACCTTCTGTTTTAAGATCAGTGAATTTGGAGCAATGAAGCACTATTAACTGGGAGACTTTGGAAGATGCTATATGCATTCTATTGGTCTGATTTCTCAAATTTGATGAATAATGGTCATGACCATTCTATCATGATTTAAAAGATTCTGCTGAACGGAAACCATTTCTGTTGAGGTTATTGAGTATTAACAATCAAAACTTTTAAAGGCAGATCCACTCAGAGCAAGGATGAGCTAAATTAAGCATTCCTACATGCATATAGCAAAAGCCCCTCAAAAACCCCACTCTATTCCATCTATTCAGAGAAAAAAATACATAGCAGCTCACAGAATTACAGAATTAGCTTTTCTACTAAAAATATAAGTACTTATATTTCTTGTTTTCCTCCTGCCTTAGCAGTATATTCATTGACCTGCAAACTGAGGTGAGTTGTAAATCTTAAAAAAACTTGAGCCAGTATAGTTACTGGGTACGTTTAATATTTATTTCCAGGTAGATTGTGTGTGTGCATATGTATGTATATATACAGTGCCTTGCAAAAGTATTCACCCCCCTTGGCCTTTTTTCGTATTTTGTTGCCTCACAACCTGGAATTAACATGGATTGTTTGAGGATTTGCATAATTTAATTTACAGAACATGCCCACAACTTTGAAGATTTTTTTTTTTTTTTCCATTGTGAAGCAAACAACAAATTTGACTAAATAACAGAAAAAGTCAATGTGCATAACTATTCACCCCCCTAAAGTCAATACTTTGTAGAGCCACCTTTTACTGCAATCACAGCTCCAAGTCGCTTTGTTTAAGTCTCTATGAGCTTGCTACATCTTACCACTGGGATTTTTGACCATTCCTCCTTGCAAACTGCTCCAGCTCCTTGGATGGTTTGCGCTTGTGAACAGTCTGACCACAGATTTTCTATTGGATTGAGGTCTGGGCTTTGACTAGGCCATTCCAACACATTTACATGTTTCCCTTTAAACTACTCAAGTGTTGCTTTAGCAGTGTGTTTGGGGTCATTGTCCTGCTGGAATGTGAACCTCCATCCTAACCTCAAATTATGCATGGAGTGGGACAGGTTTTGCTCAAGAATATCCCTGTATTTAGCACCATCCATCTTTCCCTCAACTCCAACCAGTTTCCCAGTCCCTGCTCCTGAAAAACATCCCCACAGCATGATCGCGTTAGGTGATGTGATGTGTTTGGTTTGCGCCAGACATAGCGTTTTCTTTTTTTTTTTTATTTATTATGTTTTTATTTAGGTTTTCTTTGTGTTCAAGTTACAGACATTGAATAATGAGATTATACAATTTACAGTAATCCGTGTATAATAACAATAACATTTGACAATTAAACATATTGTGCAATAGAATACATTTGAAGGGCTAGAGTACATTCCGGGTGAGCTGGACTGCGCTTTTATGAGAAGTGCCTAAGACCCTTCGGCCTAATTTGAGAAATGCCAAGGAGGGACTTACGGACCTTCCACTAACTGTGAATGTGTGGACCAAGACCTTGTGTACTGTCTAGAGCGGCTACAGTCGATCTGGACTTTAAGTCCGGCTGTGTGTGTGCAATTTTCTGTCACTAAGTCACGATTTGCATAGTTATCACCTTTATGTAGACGCCAGTTGTGCGTCCTTCTTACCCTGTGTGAAAGACACCCATGGGTACCACATCGAGTGGAACAGATGGTATTTGCCTAAGTTCGACATTCTCAGTTCCTCCATCTTATGTACATTATCTATTTTGAGGAACCAGGCTCTCCTTGAGGGTCTGATCTGGGATTTCCAATTTCCCGCTACTACTGCCTTTGCTGTCGTCAGAAGAAAGTATAAGAGGGAGCATTTAAATTTGTTTTGAGAGATTGGGATGTGAAAGAATAGTAGTGTTTCGGGGTTAAAAGCTAAGGGCACCTTGCTAAGTTGTTCAGTTATTCTCGCCACTTCCCTCCAGAAGCCCACTATCCTTCTGCAGTTCCACCATATGTGCTGATACGTTCCCTGTTCTGTCCCACACCTCCAGCATAAAGGTGAATATTGGGTACCGTATTTATTGGCGTCTACTGGCGTGACATACCATTTCGTGAGAAATTTGTAGTTAGTTTCTTGTAAGGGGATGTTAGGATGAGTTTTCAACATTTTCCTGAATATGTGGGACCAGTTGTTCTCATCTACTGTAGTAGAGAACCAATTCTGTGAGGCTTTAGTGTACCATGGGAGGTTTGTATCCTCTGATATTTGTAACATTTGATAGCATTTAGATATTATCTTCTTAGGTATGGGTTTTGAGCAAAGTTTCTCAAAATTCGTTTCTTCCCTGGGGGACCATTTTAGTAACTTTTCTTTACTTAGAAAATGTTTGAGTTGAAAGTATTGGAACATTTGTAACAGTGTTTGGTTTCTGGTGTCTGAAAGGTCTTTTAAAGGTTTTAACCCATCTGAGGTCATTACGTCTTTTAGTTCTATATGTCTCCCTTTGGCCGGTTTGACCCCTGAGGTATGCGTAATGCCCCGTAGGTCTGCCTGGAATAACGGGTTGTGGGAGATTGGGAATTTAGGTGAGGTGGTTGGTGTAAATTCCGAGCCTCGACATATTGATTTCCAAACTTTGAGTGTCGTAGTAATCGTGGGTAAATTGTTTGGAATCGTGCTATGTGGGGAATGAATTGTCCACGGTAGGGCTATGAGCGGTGTCCCTATTTGAGCTTGTTCTAGTTCAACCCATATCTTTCTTCCCTCTGTTCTGGACCATTCCATGATCCTACCTAGGTGAGTTGCCCTATGGTAATGAAGGATATTAGGGCATCCCAGGCCCCCCCTCTCCTTAGTTTTAGTCAGGGTACGATATGCTACTCGTGGTCTTTTCTTAGCCCAAATAAATGTTGTGAGGGTGGACTGGATTCTCCGGAAAAATTCCGAGGGTATTTTGATTGGTATTGTATTGAGTAAATATAAGATGCGTGGGAGAACATTCATCGTAATGATATTTATACGTCCCATCCACCTAAAGTGTGGTTTGTCCCATGATTCTAAGTCCCTTCTTATTGAGGAAATCAGGTTTGGGAAGTTGACTGTGTATAATGTTTGGGGTGAGTTAGTTATCTGCACTCCCAGATATTTAATGGAGTTTTTAGCCCACGAGAATGGATAAGAGCTCTGTAATCTCTTGACTTGGTTTGGTGCGACATTTACATTTAAGATTTCGCATTTCTCCGCATTGATTTTAAAGTTGGAAAGGTCACTGTATTTATGTAGGGCATCCATTAAAGGAGGCAGGCTTGTTAAGGGATTTTCAATAGTAAATAGTAAATCATCGGCGAATGCTGAGACTTTATATTCCTTATCCTGCACTTTAATGCCTCGTATGTCAGATCTCCTGCGTACTTCCTGCAAAAGGGGCTCTAGAGTCAAAATGAATAAAAGGGGTGATAATGGGCAACCCTGGCGGGTGCCATTTCTGATCTTGAAAGGCCTAGATAGTTGCCCATTTATCTTTAGTCGTCCCGTTGGGACTGAGTAGATTGCCTTGATCCATGTTAACCATCTCTTGCCAAATCCTAGTGCTTCTAGTGTATGTGTAAGGAATGACCAGTCCACCCTGTCAAAGGCCTTTTCCGCGTCTATTGCTAACATTATAGTGGGAGTCGGGGATTTTGATGCTAGATGTAACAGATTAATAATTTTGGTGGTATTGTCTTTTGTTTCTCTTGTTGGTACGAAGCCAGCCTGGTCAGGGTGGACTAGGTCTGTCAGGAAGGGCCTCAACCTAGATGCCAACATTTTGGTGAAAATCTTGATATCTACATTTATGAGCGATATAGGTCTATAGCTCGGGCATCTCTCTGGATCCTTCCCTGGTTTAGGTAGGAGGGTTATTGTTGCTTCTAATGTTTGTTGGGGTATTGAGTGACCTGATGGGATGGAATTTATTGCCTCTAGGAAGTGATCCTCTAGTTCTTTTTGGAAAGTCTTATAATAAACGGCTGAGAACCCGTCTGGGCCTGGGCTTTTGTTAAGAGGGGCTTGTTTAATGGCCATCTGTATTTCTGTCAAGGAGAATGGTTCTTCCAGAGATCTGGTGGCCGCTGCTGGGAGAGTGGCGTCGAACTTGTCTACTAGGTACGATTTGATGTCCTCGGTATTGGGGGCCCTGTTATGTAAGTTATATAAGGAGGTGTAGTATTCTCTAAATGATTCTGCTATGTCCTCCGTGGTTAGTGCCAATGTGTCATTTGATCGTTTTATTTTGGGAATGTAAGTTTGGGCTTGTTTTTGCTTCAGAGCTTGTGCAAGTAATTTACCACACTTATTTCCCTGTGTATAATATATATGTTTCGTCCATAGTAGGGCTTTTTTAGTGTTGTCTAAGAGGAGTGAATGAAGTTCCTTTCTTAGAGCAATAAGTGTTCGGTATATGGGGTCTGTGAGGTTATGTTTGTGTGTCTCCTCTGTCCTCCGAATCTCCTCCAATAGATCTGTGATTTTTTTTCCTTTTTCTTTTTTGGTGTGTGCGCCCCATTTTATTAGTTCTCCTCTGACCACTGCCTTGTGTGCTTCCCATTGAGTAAAGGCTGTAGTGTCAGGGGTTTTATTCTCTTTGAAGTAATGCGTGATGGATGATGCTACCGCTTGTTTTATTTGTGCTGAGTTAAGCAAATTAGGGTTTAACTTCCATTGCCCTTTTGGGCGGGGAAGAGAGGGGATAGTCAGGGAAATTGAGATTGGTGCGTGATCCGACCAAGTAGCATTTCCTATGGACGAGTCTGTTATTAATCCTAAATCTCTATGTGTCGTTAAAAAAAAGTCTATGCGTGAATATATATTGTTTGGGATTGCATAATGGGTATAATCTTTTGTTGTCGGGTGAAAGACCCTCCAACAGTCTACCAGTTGGTTGGTATGGAGAATATGTTGCATTTGGTGTCTTGCCGATGCTAAATGTTGGGTTTTGTTTGAGGTACTGTCCTTAGAGGCGTCTAGTGAAATGTTAAAGTCCCCCCCGATTATTAGAGTTCCATTGGAGTTTTGCTTAACTTTCGTCAAAATTCTCCGAAAGGCACCACATTGGTGTTTATTTGGGAGATAGATCCCAACTAGAGTGATTGGAGAGGTTCCTATCAAGCCTTGTAGTATTATATAGCGGCCTGATTCATCTGTTACATGGTTAGAGTATGTGAAGGGGACTCCTGAACTTATCAAGATCGCAACCCCCCTAGATTTGCTTTTGTTGTAATTATTGTAGTATACATGAGAAAATTTGGGGTGTTTAAGTAGTGGAGCGGTCTTGCCTCGTAGGTGTGTTTCTTGTAAGAAAATGACCTCTGCCCTTGTTTTAGCTAGCTCAGTGAGCACCATTCTCCTCTTCTCTGGAGAATTAAGGCCCCTGACATTTTGAGATATTATTTGGATTTTACCCATGGCTAGGTCTAAGTATCTAAGATCTTAATGAACTATTCTTTAGTGTAGTCTCCGTCAGGCTATAATTACCTAGGAGTGTTGTCTGGTCTAATGTAGTATCTTTGGTATGGAATGCCCTATAGATCTAGTATTCCTCTATAGTCAGTGGTTCCAATGCACATAAACAAAAAAAAAAAAATAACAGATAAACAACTTTAAACAACTATATACAATGTAATCACAGTGAAATGTGATTTGGTGTTCTCTTGCGGTGTTCACCCAAGAGAACGTGAAGATTTATTTTATTTTTTAAGTTTTGTTGTAGAGGCCAAGTGCACAAGATAATAAGTTGTCTGGGTCTTGTTGGTTTCTTTTTTTGAGTTTTTTTTTTATTTATTTATTTATTATTTTTTTTTTTTTCTTGTGTCCTGTGGCCTCTCTCAAGGAGTCGGTGCCAACCCTGATAGTTTCCAGTTACAATAACTGGGTCAGGGGAGTTATTTGTTTTATTATAAGAAATGTGAGAACGGTATGCTTCTGTGCGTTGTACCGCTCTGGGCCTTGTACGGTCCCAAAATATGAGGGGTCGTGGGTTGTGAATTAAAACATAAAATACTTGTGACGCTTTTTTTGTAACAATCAAATAATCCGTTTTACTACGGGATATGTGGCAGCCAAAAATCACTATGTGTTGACCTCGCTCCCCTTTAAGCGGCAAATGAACACTTGTGAAAGTGTAGCCTGATACGGTATGGGCTATTTAGGTCAGTTGATTTAGTGCGTTAGCTATGTTGGGTGTGATTGACATATTGGTATTAATTTACGTTTTTACGATGGTTGAATGTACAGGGTCCTCATTTCTCAGCCCTACTTATTATTTTTCGTGACCCTCAATATCCACGTGATATCCCTGTACATAGTCAGATTTTCAAGTCACTGTCCTGCCTGAATAAATGACACTGGTAATTTACACTCTTAACCTTGTCTGTGAGAATCTCTACTGTAGGCATTACAGTAGAATACCCTAGATAACTGTCATGACTGCCTGTTAGAGTGACAGCCCCTGCCGATGTTCTTTTTCTAGGGCAGTGTAAGACTGTCATCCTACTTTTCCAACCTTATCAGTTGGTATATGCATCTGAAACAACTTATTCACATCTTATTGACATACATACAAGCATAGTTACCATCCTGGGTTTAGGAGTGTATCGTTTTTTTTTTTGTTTTTTTTTTTTTATATACAGTCCATAAACTTCCCTGTGAATAAATCGAGTTCTTTCAATCGGCATAGTCCTTATCGGATCTGTTTCGGGGTCGCCGGTTGTCGCCTGGATCTCATGAAGGGGGACGTAGGTGGTGATTTCCAAGGTTGTTTCCTCCGTAGGTCTTGAAATCGGTTTCTTTGGTGTTGGGGTGGAACTTGTGTAGTTTCTGATTCCGTTAAATCGTACCAGTCAATTATCTCTACCTCCGGGATGCCAAGGCATTTAGTAAATTCCGGTACCTCAGCCGCAGTTGTGAGTGAGGCTTGGGTCCCCTGGTGAGAGGCATTGAGGGAGAATGGGAAACCCCATCTGTACTTGATTCCCGCTTGTTGCAGAGCTTGTGTAACTGGTCGCAGAGCCCGCCGTCCTCTTAATGTCATCCATGACAGGTCAGGGAGTAGTTGGATTTTCACGTTATTATAAGTGATTTCTGCAGTTTCCCTTGCGCTCCTCATGATAGCCCCTTTCTCGGAGTAATAATGTACTCTGCAGATAATATCCCTGGGAGCTTCTTGAGCCAGACCCTTGGGTTTAAGGGCCCTGTGAGCTCTATCCAGGAGAATGTGAGTGTCCTCTGGCCTCTGTAGCATCCTGTTAAAGAGAGATTGTAATACAATTTGAAGATCTTCATTTGTACCTTGTGCCTCCGGTAGTCCTCGTATTCTAATGTTGTTCCTCCTACTTCTGTTGTCAAGATCTTCTGTATTTTTCATATTGTATAGCAGCTTTGTGTCTCTGCTTTTTTGTCCTTGTTCCAATTGTAGTAGTCTGTCTAAGATCTGGTCCCTGTCTTCTTCCAGGTCCCCCACCCTGTTACTGATTTGTTTGACCTCTGATGTCATTTTGGATAGTTGGTCTTCCACTGACGATTCAAGTTTGGTCAGCATTACTGCTATTTCTTCCTTGGAAGGTAAGTTTTGCAGTAGCTCTTTGATTTCAGCCATATTGGAGTTCGACCCGTGCTCAGATTGTATCGGGCTGTTGGAAAGTGAGCCTCGTGTCAAAGATGGCGTCGCCTGGCTGTCTTCTGAGTCAGCGCCCAGTATCGTGACAGTATCTCTAAAATATTTGTCTAATCCTCCGTTTATTTTACCCGAGCCCGGGTCCGGAGTGTTCATCTGTAGGACAGGCTTCTTTTTGTTGCCCATTTGAAAGGTTAAAGTTTGTGTAGTCGGCTCTTTATGTTCCGCTTTGGGGAGCTCCGTTCAAGTGCGTCTGTTCACATCGGTAGTTAAGCCACGCCCCCGACATAGCGTTTTCTATGATGGCTGAAGAGTTCAATTTTAGTCTCATCAGACCAGAGCACCTTCCTCCATACATTTTGGGGGTCTCCCACATGCCTTTTCGCAAATTTAAAAAGTGCCATTTTGTTTTTTGCTGCTTTGTTCTGGCCACTCCGCCATGACACTCTATGGAGCGGCTTATTATCGTCCTATATACAGATACTCCAGTCTCTGCTGTAGAAATCTGCAGCCCCTCCAGGGTTACCTTAGGTCTCTGTGCTGCCTCTCTGATTAATGCCCTCCTTGCCCGGTCCGTGAGTTTGGTGGTCTCTTGGCAGGTTTGCTGTTGTGACATGTTCTTTCCATTTTGTTATGATAGATTTGATGGTGCTCCTGGGGATCCTCATTTTATAACCTAACCCTGACTTTTACTTCTCAACAACATTTTCCCTTACTTGTTTGGAGAGTTCCTTGGTCTTCATGGCAGTGTTTAGTTAGTGGTGCCTCTTGCTTAGGTGTTGCAGCCTCTGGGGCCTTTCAAAAAAAGGTGTGTATATGTAATGACAGATCATGTGACACTTATATTGCACACAGGTGGACATCATTTCACTGACTTCTGAAGGTAATTGGTTGCACCAGAGCTTTTTATGGGCTTCATAACAAAGGGGGTGAATACATACGCACATGACAATTTTCTGTTTTCTATTTCTAAAAAATAGTTTTATGTATATATTTTTCTCATTTCACTTTGCCAACTTAGAATATTGTGTTCTGATCTATCACATAAAATTCAGATTAATAAAACATTGAACTTAAGGCTGTAATGTAACAAAATAGGTAAAAAGTCAAGGGGGGTTAATACTTTTGCAAGGCACTGTATATATACTATAAGGAATCCTTGCACTCAGGCTATGAGTATAAAAATAAATACTTGCCGGGTGCTTAGCCTGGGACTTTAATATCCAGAGAATAGTAGTGATGGCAGCACTCACGGTCTCCAATAAAATTCTTCTTTATTTGGCACGGTTAAAACATGGGATCCCATGTTTTAACCTTGCCAAATAAAGAATTTTATTGGAGACTGTGAGTGCTGCCATCACTACTACTCTCTCTCATTCTCTCTCTCTCTCTCTCTCTCTCTCTCTCTCTCTCTCTCTCTATATATATATATATATACTTGCCATTAGTGAATAACTATTGCACAATAGCTGCACTGCAACAAAGCAAACTATACATTTAATGCAGTTTCTGACCAATTCCAGTGAAAGAAAAAGTTAATATTTTTTTATCATTCTAGAAAAGATGAACTTTCCAGCTTCATAAACTGAAGAATATCCCACTGAGTTAATCAAGTTTCGTCAGTATAATAAAGCACTTTAATAGTATAGCTAAATTAAAGGCAATGACTTATTGTTATAGCATTCACTGGCAAGATATTTTACGATACTGTATTATAAGACAATTCAAGTTTGCATTTTTATCCATGGATGCAGTTGGAATAAGAATTCAGAATATTGAACAACTTAAAGTGGAACTATGATCCTCCTTCCCTGATGTTAGGCTGCAAAATTTAGAGGGTCTGGAAACCTTTAAGCTGCCATGGACTTATGCAGTTAACACATCTTGCTTTCCTTGATCTCTTTATGTATGTTCACTGCAGAGAACAATTCATGTACAACAGTCATTATGAAGTTCCAGAAAAATTGTGCATTTTTACAGGGGGTACAGCGTATAAATAAAGTACAGTTTTCTTATGTGTGTACAACAAAAGACAAAATCAACCAATCAACAAAGTTTCAGTGCAGTACATTACGTATGCTGTTAGTTAATACAAAGGACAGTTGCTTTACTTGAGGGTCTTATCTCCAAGGTTAACACAAAATAAACATTTCAGAAGCAGTTGCCAACTGCTGACATAAGCATGATTTAAAAATTTAGCTTTTAACCCCTGCAGACATGGAAAGACCTAACTAGGGCTAAAATATGTTTTAACCCTATTTTTACCTGCATCTATGACAAGTCCACTTTTCTCTGGTACTAATTACACCTGTGGGCCTTTAATAAGCACTTTACCTCTATTCCCTTACCCCCCTTCCCACCAACAAACTATTGAGGAAGACCCTGTCCAGGTATTTGTAGATACAGGATAATATATGTTGTTAAATCCACATCTCAGTATGCAATGCAAAGTGATGCAAAGTGATGCACTTCGGGGTTAAGAATGCACAAGCAACTTACACACTAAATGGTAGTGAATTAGTAATGAAAAGTGATGCACTTCGGGG